GGGCTCTCTCCCCACAGCCATGGATCTTAGGCAGGCAGTGGCTGAGTCAGTAGCGGTGGCTGCAGTGTGGGCAGAGCAGTCCCGGATTATGAGAGGGATGTCCGACTACTGGTTTAGGCCCAATCCCTGTAAACTGGCAGGACATTTTTTGGGGGGTCCCAAATTGGAGAGGGTGCAGGCCAGGCTGAGGAACACACCCTCCCCCGTGCACGAATTTCGTGCACCCGGCCACTAGTATGTTATAAGCAAGAATATACTATCTCCAAATGCACATTTATCAAAAATGAAATACAGGGTCAACTCATTAAACCTGGATGTTTCATTCCCAAAAATGAGCAGATATTAAACCCAGCACCAAACCTGAAGCATGCCCAATTTCCAAAGCAAATAGTCATGTTTGTACTCAGTAAATCTTTTCGCCTTCTCTTACATCACAAAAGAAAATGGCATTAGATGTGGTGTATATATACAATGCAATACTACTCAGCCTTAAGAAAAGATGAAATACAGCCAATTGCAACAACATCAATGGACCTTGAGAATATAAGCAAAATAAGTCAGAAAAAGTTAAGAACCATATGATTTCATTCATACATGGTATATAAAACTGAAAGCAACCAATGAATAAATTTTTAAAAAATTCATAAAAACAGACAAGAGTATGGTAGTTACCAGAGGGAAGGGTGGGTTGGTAAAAGCTAAAAGGCGTCAAATACGTGGTGACAGAAGATGATTTGACTTTGGGTGGTAAACACAATACACGTATTGTGTACAGGTCACGTATCATAGAAATGCACACTTGAAACTTATATAATCTTATAAACCAACTAAAGGCCCAATGCATGAAAATTTGTGCAAGAGTAGGCCTTCCTTCCCCCGACTGCTGGGACCGGCTTCTCTCCGGCACCCGGGACCTGGGCTGGCTTCCCTCCTCCAGCCGTCCACAGGTACCCGGGACCCGGGCTAGCTTCAACCAGGCCACCCGCAAGCACCCAGGACCTAGCTGGCTTCCCTCTGGCCCCAGCTTCATCAGGAAGGACATCTAGGATGGCATCTGGAAGACGTCTGGTCTAATTAGCGTATTACCCTTTTGTTATTATAGATGTTATCCCAATAAATTTAATTTTAGAAAAAGGCATATTTTGTTGGTTATAATTCTCAAACCAGCCAATCAGCACTTTTTTCTCTGTTATAGTAAGAGCTTCAGAGAAAAATCTCACAATTTTGGTAATGTAGATTTTGACGTCATCAAGCATTCCAGTAAACTGTATCAGCACTGTCATGAATTCTTCCCACAAGAGATTCCCTCAGCCTGTGAATGTCAACAAAAGTCTCCGAATGTCAACAATGTTCTGATCTTAGTCAAGATGACAGAACACTCCTCAAATCACTTCTAAAGAACAGGATACTAGCTGTCCTTCATTTTTATCATGTAAGTTTTTAAAACAATACAATACATGCAGATGGTTAAAAAATCAAATAATAGTAGTGATAAAAGTGCTTACAATAAAATAACTCTATGACTCAT